GTTTTTTCCAGTTCGAGAGAATGCCCCAAGGCATTAAGGGAGCACCAGCCACATTCCAACGACTGATGGAACAGTGTATGTCAGGTCTGAATTTTGATGAAGTCCTGGTGTACATGGATGATATCATAGTATTCGCTCCAACCCTGGAAGAGATGGAGAAGCGGCTGGGTAGGACCTTTGATCGTCTCGCTCAGTATGGCTTAAAGGTGGCACCGGAAAAGTGTCAGCTGTGCTGCACCTCAGTAAAATATCTTGGCCATGTGGTTTCAAGGGAGGGTGTCGAAACTGATCCTGCAAAGGTGGAGGCGATCAGATCCTGGCCACGTCCAGAAAACGTCAGACAGCTGCGCTCTTTCTTGGGGTTTTGTGGCTACTATCGCCGATTTATAGAGGGTTTTTCCAAAATTGCTAAACCTCTCCATCAGCTCACTGCAGGTTTCCAGCGGCACGATCCTTCAGCAAAGTCTGCGGGCAGGACACACATGGATGGACGGGTGTCATTCGGTCAGTTGTGGACGGCAGAGTGTGACAGTGCGTTCAGCATTCTCAAGGACAGAATGTGTGCTGCTCCTGTATTAGCCTTTGCGGATGTAACACAGCCATTTGTGTTACACATAGATGCCTCCCGTGATGGTCCTGGAGCAGTCTTGTGTCAGGAGTCATCAGGGAAACTGCGCCCAGTAGCTTATGCTAGCCGAGGGTTGACCCGCACTGACAGAAACTACCCCGCACATAAGTTAGAGTTTTTGGCCCTCAAGTGGTCCGTCACCGAAAAGTTTAAGGACTATTTGTACACAGCAAAAGGGACGAAGGTGTATACAGACAACAACCCCCTTACTTACATACTCACCACAGCAAAACTCGATGCTACGGGCCACCGCTGGCTAGCTGCCCTCACCGTGTTTGACTTCACATTGCACTACAAGCCTGGACCAAGCAACAAAGATGCTGATGCATTGTCTCGAAGGCCTCACTGCCAAAACTTGGATGTTGTCGATCAGAAGGAAAAGATCCACATCCTGGAAGCTCGATTGCAGGGTGAAAGTGGCGAGACTGAAAAGCACTGTGATGTTGAAGTCATCCATGCTATTTCTGCCAGCCTCTTGCCAAGCTCTGCAGGCAGTCAAGTTGATGAAACCCCAACCTATCCTTTAGTGCATTCCTTGGCTCTGGGTACTGAGGCTATTCCTGCATTGTATTCTACGCCAGATGGGAGTGGATCTGGTGAACCAGTCGAATGGAAGAAAGAACAAGCTGGCGACGATACATTCAAAAGAATCCTTCCAGCAGTCATAGATGGCAAGAAACCCAAAGTTGTGGCTGATATTACTCCCCAAGAGAGGATGATGGTAGCCCAGTTTGACAAGCTGGTTTTGAGAGAGGGAATTCTGTATCGTCGGGTCATCAGTCCAGCTGGCGATGAGACGTTTCAGTTGGTGTTGCCTAAGAAGTTCAGAGAACAGGCAGTGAGGGACTTCATGATGACCTGGGTCACATGGGAGTAGAGAGGGTGGTTGCTTTGGCTAGACAGCGGTTTTACTGGCCCAAGATGACTTCGGAGATAGAGGATTGGGTTTCTCATTGCCTTAGGTGTGTCTCCCGGAAAACAACGCAAAAGGTCGCTGCGCCCTTGGTGAATATATCGACCAGTTCTCCTCTTGAGTTGGTGTGCATGGACTTTTTAAAGTTGGAACCTGATAGGAGTGGATACCAGTATATCTTAGTCATAACCGATCATTTCTCAAGATATGCACAAGCTGTGCCAACCAGGGATAAATCATCCACAGGGCGATCCACAGCCCGAGCGATTTAATCGCACATTGCTCAACATGTTGGGTACTTTGCCTGTCGACAAGAAGCATACTTGGAGCAAGTTTGTAGCACCCCTGGTTCACGCATACAATTCCACAAGAAATGATAGCACAGGGTTTTCCCCCTATCACATCATGTTTGGAAGGGAAGCTCGACTTCCCATTGATGTGTGTTTTGGCACAGCTCCAGATGGCGTGTCCCACAAAGAGCACACAAAGTATGTCCAAAATCTCCGACGTAACCTGGAGAGTGCTTATCGACGTGCGTCAGAGGAATCTGCTAAATCAGCAGCTGCCAACAAGCAACGTTATGATGTGAAAGTGCGAGGGAGCGAGTTGCAGACTGGTGACAGGGTACTCGTCAGGAACGTAGGTTTCAAAGGCCCTCATAAGATTGCAGACAAATGGAATCAAGACGTGCATGTTGTTGTTGGCCGCCCAGATGATAATATGCCGGTGTACAGGGTCAAGTCTGAGTCTCGACCTGGTATTCTGAGAACACTGCATAGGCACATGGTCTTACCAATTGGTGGTATTGCTCCTGAAGTAAGCCCCAAGGTTACAGCCTCTAAGGTTCCAAAACCTGTTGCCCAGAAACTGCGGACATCAAACTTAATACCTTCACCAGTACCAGCTCCAGTCCAGAGTGAGGAGGAACATGACACTACTGCCCCTGATGAAGATCAGGAAGTAGTTCTCATTTGGCCTAAAGTTGGAAATCCAAATGAGGTTACTGATCAGCCGGACCCTGTTGAGGAGACACGGGTGGACCTGAGTCAACGTCAAGAAACCAGTATGAAACCAGGCTGTGAGAAGATGGATTCGGTCAGACTGAGAGTGGATGCTGATGTATTTGTTCCTGCAACTGTTCCACTGACTCCATCAATGAGTTCAGTGCAGCAGGATACAGGTACTTCCACAGCCCTGAAAGTAACTGATCAGTTGAGAGAGACGACGACTTGCGACACAGGTGTGACAGAGACTCTCACTGAAAAGGGTATAACCTCTTGTTCAGAAGTACCCACACCTTTTAGCCAGTCCACATGTTCTGACAATATCCCCACAGTTACTTCAAAAGCAGCCGGGGCTGTAGATGTATCAAGTTCTGATGAGGAGAAAAGCTTCGGAGAAGTGGGACTTCAAATCAAAACTACTGTAGAGGTTGAGCATGATGGCGGTGGTGTACATTCAGACAAAACCGATGACCTTGGAGATGGAACTGGGATGATTGTTGATGATGGTAGCCCTAACAGCTCAGTGGTTGAAGCTCCTTGCCGTGAGTCTTCTTTTCTTGATTCAGTAGCTGAGTCCGAGTCTGATGAGGGCAGTATCAGTGATTCACATCCCGCAGATTCTGAAGAGGATGAAGGGTCCTTGCTGAGTCACCCTTCACGTCCCTCTAGGAATAGGCAACCACCAAAGCGATACACTTATGATGTGTTGGGTCAACCTACGTGTAGAGCAGTACAGGCTAACGCACAGAGTAGTTGGATTCCGGAGTTCTGTAGATCATTTCTCTCTACAGACAGACATGTTATCGGGACGATACAACATGTTTAGAAAGGGGGGAGAGTAGCCACTTGCTTTCCAGGAGTCGCGAGAAATGAAATAGCGTCCTCAAGCGTTCGCTAAAAACGCGCCTGTTTTCTTGCCATTGTTCACGAAGTTTGTTTGTCGATAAAAGTTTTGTCCGACAAATTTATCCAGAATCATCTTGCTGTAAAGTCGCTTTTTGAGCGAATCATCAACCTATTGTGTGCCTCAAGAATCCGTTATTTCTGCTCGGCATACTGTTGGCTATCAGTTCTCAGGTTCTCAGATACAAGTGAGAACTTCTTAGTCTCTCTTTGAGATAACTGAAGGGACGACCTCACCTGATTGCCGTTTGCCAGATCTGAATTTCACCTGATAAAGAAATCTACTACAGTAGGCCAGTGGTCATCAGAGGTGCTCCGTAAAACTACTGGAGTGAGCCTACTCAAGGAGACCAACGACTTCGTCTGCCTTGCAGTACCGGGCCAGTTTACTGACTTCGTTGGAGTCACCGGTTCAGTCAAGTCGGTTGACTGGACGTCACTATTTTGGAACTGTGAAAGCTCCAGCATTGACTTTCTTGCCGGCCATTTACTGTGCGCATCATTGGGCCCATTTTTGTGTGTATTACTTGAGCATCGTGGATCCATATCCTTTTAATTAAACATTGATTGTATTTTGATTGAATTGTTTGGCCAAACGAAATTGTTGGTACACAATAAAAGCTGATTGGAAATTAATTTATTGTTATTCTCCTGTGTCCTTCCCTAAACGGTTACACTTAATTAGCAAGTCAAGGCTACCTTAAAAGGGACAGTTACTCTATCAGACTCATTACTAAATTTCACAGATTCACCAGTCCATTCGGTTAAATTGTCATTCCATTTTGGGAATTTTTGTGGCATGGAGTACTGAGTTTGCCGAACGGAATGATAAATTCGCCAAAAGAAATGATGAATATGCCGAGCGAAGTGGTGGATTTGCTGAATGGCATGATAAATTTGCCAAATGGAATGATCATGAATTTGCCAAATGAGGAGATGAGTATGCCAAATAGAAAGACAAATTTGCCGAATGGAATAATGAATGCTAAACGAAAGAAGGAATTTCCCATATTGAATGATGAATTTGACAAAGAGACTGATATGAACTACAGCTTTGGCACTCCATAGACTGACTGCAGGGATTTAAATACTTCAGTCAAAATATCAAGGGTGAACATTTTGTGTCCGCAACCGGGTACAACAAGATGAAAACAGTTCTTTTCTGCCGGTGTGGACGGTAATTCTGTCCCCCGGTGAAAGTGTCCGGGGGGACAGAATTACCTAGGTAAAAGTGTCCCCCCTGTCCCGTTAATTCTGTCCCCCTCCAGGTAATTCTGTCCCCTCCAGTTAATTCTGTCCCCGCTGGTTTTGCACGCATAAGTTGTTATATTGATGTTATTATAATGAATTCAGCGCACAGGGTATACATTTTTAGATTTTTCCACCCTTCATCAATGATTATCAAAATGCAATTAACGTTTAGATGTTAATCAACCGATCTATGTTTCTGCAAGAAAGCAGAAAAGGCACACGTAGTAATACTCAACCTATACGGCTAGCGCGCACGCCCTCCGTAGGATTCGGCGGACAGTTGAGCACGTTACAGTGCACGTTACATGAGCACGATACATAGAGCTTGCTTTTCCTCGGGCTGTATTACCAAGCCTATTAATAACGCAGTGAGGGACATCCAAGAATGTGTTATGTAACACTTCCTGCATGGTCTTGCAAGCATTCTGATTTGTGTTCCCAGCGTCATGCATGGGTGGGTGTGTGTGTGTGTGTGTTCATGGAGGAATAATTAAGAACGAACCCCTTGGTCCGTGTTCCTTGCTCGTTCGAGTTCCATTTTGTCTTCATTTTTGCAACCATGCGGCTTAAAATAAATGTGCATTTCAAGTCTTTTTTGCCCACCATGCAAATCGCTCGCTCCCGAAGTCGTCATCAAAACGGGAGTTGTGCTTTGACGTAAGCACCATTCCCGAATTTAGCAAGGCGCCGCGCAAAAACAGTTAATAACTTTACTAATATACAGTCTGGGTGCTAGACTTGTGACGTTGCATGGGGACACATTTACCAGGGGGGACACATTTAACGTCGTGCAGGGGACAGATTTACCTAGAGGGGGACAGGTTTACCTAGGTAAAAGTGTCCCCCCGGACAGATTTACCGGGTCACGACCCGGTAAATCTGTCCGGGGGGGGGGACACATTTACCAGGGGGGACAGAATTACCTGCCACACCGGAATCAGACATTCGTAAAACATTATGTTACGGATAGGCGTTGAGAGAAGTCCATAGTAACACTCACCGTACAGGCCCACACGCATGCGGCACGTGTAGCCGTCCGGGTCTAGCATGAAGCCCTCTACACATGCGCAGGAGTAGTTACCAATGAGGTTCAAACAAATATGGTTGCACAGGGCTGTTCCATCATCACACTCGTTCACATCTACACATTCCAGATGCAAGCATATTAAGAGAAACAAAAAGTGAGCACATTGTTCAGGTAGCTGTAATCAAGTCAATCATAAGTCAATTCACGAGTAAGAAGTACATGTAACAAGTGATGAACAACGACAAGGGAATGAATTTGTCACAGTTCATTAAAAAAAGCTTGTGAGTTGACTAGGGACTGGATGACTAGTGATTGACTTCTGGTGACTTGTGATTGACCTGTGCTTGACTTGTGATTGACTTGTGATGGACTTGTAATTGACTTGTGATTGACTTGCGATGACTTGTGATTGACTTGTAGTGACTTGTGATGACTTGTCAAGTTGTTAACTGACTTGTGATGACTTGTGATTGATTTGCGATGACTTGTGATTGACTTGTGATTGACTTGTGATTGACTTGTGGTGACTTGTGGCGACTTGTGGTGACTTGTGGTGACGTGAAAACTTGTGATGACTTGTGGTGACTTGTGATTGACTTGTAATTGACTTCTGGTGACTTGTGATTGACCTGTGCTTGACTTGTGATTGACTTGTGATTGACTTGTGATTGACTTGTGACTGACTTGCGTTGACTTGTGATTGACTTGTAGTGACTTGTGATGACTTGTGATGACTTGTCAAGTTGTGACTTGACTTGTGGTGACTTGTGATTGATTTGCGATGACTTGTGATTGACTAGTGATTGACTTGTGATTGACTTGTGGTGACTTGTGGCGACTTGTGGTGACGTGATAACTTGTGATGACTTGTGGTGACTTTTGATTGACTTGTAATTGACTTGTGGTGACTTGTAATTGAATTGTGATGACTAGTAATTGACTTGTGGTGACTTGTGATTGACTTGTGATGACTTGTCAAGTTGTGACTTGTGATGACTTGTGATTGATTTGCGATGACTTGTGATTGATTTGTGATTGACTTGTGATTGACTTGTGGTGACTTGTGGCGACTTGTGGCGACTTGTGGTGACTTGTGGTGACGTGATAACTTGCGATGACTTGTGGTGACTTGTAATTGACTTGTAATTGACTTGTGGTGACTTGTGATTGAATTGTGATGACTTGTGATTGACTTGTGGTGACTTGTGATTGACTTGTGATGACTTGTGATGACTTGTGATATGACTTGTGATGACTTGTGATTGACTTGTGATGACTTGTGATTGACTTGTGATGACTTGTGATGACTCATGATTGACTTGTGATGACTTGTGGTGACTTGTGATATGACTTGTGATGACTTATGATTGACTTGTGATGACTTGTGATGGACTTGTGATGACTTGTGATGACTTGTGATGACTTTTGATGACTTATGATTGACTTGTGATGACTTGTGATCGACTTTTTTTAATTTGTAATGACTTGTGGTGACTTGTGATGACTTGTGGTGAGTTGTGATGGCTTTTGCTGACTTGTGATGACTTGTGATGACGTGTGATTGACTTACAATTGACTTGTGATGACTTCTGATGACTTTTGCTTGAATAATAATGACTTGAGATGACTTGTGATTGACTTGTAATGACTTGTGATGACTTTTGACTGACTTTTGACTGACTTTAGTGCCTTGAAATGACTTGTGATGACTTGTGCCTGACTCGATTACAACTCTGAATATTGTGTAGAACAAGTTTTCATCTAGGCATTATTGCGGCCAGGCAAGACAATTGAAGTTCCTGTTAGGTATATTAAAATTCAAAGAAGAACTACAACGACTAGGCAGAGTGGCGTAGCAAGAGTGTTTTCAATGAGGAGGGGGAGGGTTAGACTTGCTAGATCATCCGTGCTGAAAGGTAGACAGGAATTTTTAACCGGTCAACTAGCCTCCATGAAATAAAAAAACATGGCGGCACAATTGCCCACGTTCGCACATTATAAAAAGGGAACTTGTGAAAAAAGGGCGCTCACGAGTTCGAAATGGGGTATGATGAGCACCAACAAATGTACTCGAGTGCGAGTACGAGTACAAGTATGAGTACTTCAACAAAATGGAGCAAATTTCAATGTGTCGCATACGTTGAAGGGCTTCTTTTTCCAACAAATAAGAAAGCTGCTTCTTTTCCTCCATGAAGCTCTTACAAATATTTAAATTCTTGCAGGAGAACAATTGCAAGAGTATCAGTACGATTACAGGGACTAGTACTAATACAAGTATGTTTTCATGAGTATGAGTACGGGAACCAAAAAACTTAAACTCGCATTACTACAGTACCCCAACTCATACACAGATATGACCTTTTGTCTTTTCCTTTACCTGCGCAATATCCACTGACGTCATCCCTGACGTAGCCCTCAATGCATGTGCAGTTGTACCCTCCGATTGTATTCACACAATTCTCCATCTCGGTACAGTCATGGATCATTTCCCCACATCCTCCTCCTGGAAAGAAAACCCAGCAATTTAAACAAAAAAATCTCAAAGCACAGCTTGTCATTAATAAATGATGAAGCTCCCCATGGTTGTTTCTCAGGCTGAATTTCAAATAGTATTCTTTAATAAGGGCAGATGGCAAATATAATTTACTGGGCACGACGCGAGCTGCTGCAGTGCAGTGCGGTGCTTATTTCCGGGCTGGGTATTTTCTCTCTACTCCCGGCGCTGCGTGGCGCTCAGACCAGACATCAGCTCATTAACTTTCGCTATTGTGCTTGTTCCACTGTTATGTCAATGAGCGAGGTCAGCGGAGAAATGTTGGTCCACGCACGCGCCGTTCTTCCATAAAAATGCCCCTCAATATGGATCGATGCGACGGACAAGGTCCGAGTTCCGTTTGTAGTTGGGCGTCCAGTGGTTTTGGTCCGTATATATGTAAACACGAAAAAACAGTAAATTTCAAACCCTGGTAATAAGTATCCTAAAAATACAAAAAGCATCCTGATACCAAGAGGAATACTGACTCCTATTATCAAAAACTTTAATTCAGAACTTTGCATTCATTTGGATGGAAAACAACGCATTCTCAATTCGCACTTTCCACATCGACGGATTGTGCAAAACGTTACCGTGTGGGCCCTTTCAACCACCGTGTAAAATTAAAATCTAAAATCGTAAATGTTTTGATCGTAACTTATAGATAAAAATGGCACACACTAGTACATTCGTGCCAAGAAAGTTCAGACTTTTATTAAATTAGTTGCATTAAGAGAAATGATTAAAAGCCTTCAGCACCTTTTCGCAAAGCATTTCTGAAGGTTGGAAACAGAGAGTTTGTACAACGGCGAAACTTATTATACAAATAATGAATGTTTGTGAGTCCAATGGTAAGAATAATTTCATTAGGTGACATATGAAATGTTCCATTCCACGAGGCGAAGCCTCGTGGAATGGAACATTATTATATAATTATATAATATTATGTTAAATTAATGTAATATATTATTATATTATTATATAATAATTATTATATTAATATAATATATTATTATATATTCAATAAAATGAACAATGAAAATGAAATTACAAAAATGTTTTTAGCAGTACATACAAATTACATTTATTATTATAATAAACAAACTACTTAAAATTGGCACACTCTATTGCTTTTAATGGAAAGTGTTCACTGAGCTGAACTTCATCCAGGTTTTAATATTTGCTTAATAATTTGCACCCTCCATTATAACTTTAAAATTTAAAAGGTGATGGACACTGTACGTTTAGATTGGACGGTAATACGTTTCCTTTTCCTCGAATATTGTGGGAGCAAATTGAATTAAAGCCCAAGCTTGCCGGCTACGTTCCTACATTTGCCATTAATGGCATCGTTTACTGACTTCATGTATGATTCAGACTTGGTAGATTGTGGGTAGTCTTTATCAGCTTGTGTTCAGATGCCAGTCGTGTTAATGAAATTAAAATTCTCTCATGCTGATTCATCACTGTATCTATTCTGGCAATGTCCTGTATTCCACAGTCTACGGAAATGTGCAAATATCAACGAATTGATTTCATTAATAAGAAAGGAATTTTTGATCTACAAATTCAAGGCAAGTCATTTGTCAATTAAATAAATATAATTTGCCATTGGAGATAAACTGGAATTTCAACCATAAATCCATGAAGTTTAAGGGGCACTGCGTCCTTAAATTTCCGAAAATTTCATGTGTTGGATTGTTTACTTATCCGTTATCAAACACTTGGTTGAATGGAAACCAAGCCAATTAATGTCTTACCGTTCCTGAGAAAAGACGAAAAAAAAACCCCGATTGTTTACATCGGACACGACGGAGTATGAAACGTGTTGTTTTCCTGTTGTTTTCATACAATGTTCGATACACGTTGCATGTGTCTAGTATTACACACGTGCACAGCACCATGCTCACGAACAGCGGTGACCAATCACCAATGCACAAAATGTCATTTCTTACACTTCCGCAAAAGGCGAAACCTTACGACTGGAATCACAACTAGCAAAACAACCCCACTTTTTGGGGTCGCAAAAGTGGACCCCGAAAGTCGTTCTCGCACGAATAACACAATATTACTACAAAAGTGCCCAGTTATTAAAGGATAGTTGTGTGGTTGTGTGGATAGTTATATATCCCACTTCAAAATGCTTTTTTCCGATTAACATCATTTCGTTGAAAACGCGTATTGTAGCCAAATTGGGCGTATTCCAGGATGCAGTGTCCCTTTCAAGTAGATTACTGAAATTAAATCATGTCAAATTTCGTGAGATAACAAGTGCTTGCTTGTTCTTTGCCAGTCAGACATTTTTAAACAACTACCAACTTCACAGGAATTTTGTTGATTTTGTGAATTTTGTTTAGTTGAGTCAGTCAGTCAAGCAATCAATCAATCAGTATTAAAGATAAGGGCAACTCCAGCATTATAACAGAAAATATATTGCCTGTGACAGAGCCACTTAACCATGATATGTAATTAGAGATTCAGAGAAATGATCCAAAACTCCTAGTCTGTAATCTCCTTGATCATTTCTACATGCACATGAAGGATGTACATGAATGGAAGAAGACATTTTCAGGCTTTTTCACTGAGCTCTTTAAAGTTGTGTCATGGACATTACATGAAGCATGCCACACTTGACATTGCCACAAAGTCATTCCAGGATGTTTGTTCATCACGAAGCTCACAAAATATCCACGTGTGCGGTGAATTTTTGTTGAGTTTTCTGCAATCTTAGCTACGTGCTGAGCCAAAACAATTAACTAGCCAATGAAATCATGTGTTCTGTACATGTGATATTAAAATATTGTTGTGCGATTCTTCTAAAGACTGCTGGCGTTTGCCCAATTTTTGAAATCATGCGACCGATATTAAAACAAGAATACATTGAATGTGCTTTCATTGGCTACTTAATCTTTATAGCTCAGCACGTAGCTCAGGCTGCCCGCACAAGGTGATTTTTTTTGCCTCGCAAGGCGAAAAAAAATCAAACAGGATGGATAATTGCCTCACGACCTCGCTAGGCAGAAAACTCAGCAAAAATTGACCGCACACTGGAATATTTTGTGAGCTACGTGCTGAGTAAACGGCCTCGAATGACTTTTTGCTCAGCATGTTATGTGATGCACCTGATTATTTTACAGTGCCTTCACCTGATTATTTACTTACGTAATTGCGGAATGAGTACATGTGCTTCCTAATCCGAATTCACTGTATCCCTTGGAATTTGATTATATAACCCAGCCGTATTAATTCTGTATAAAACCCACGGTCTAGCCCAACGCTGGTTGTCTGTGTTTCAGGCGTGTGGTCACCATAGCTCCCTGTAGACTGCAGTTTGTGTATTTATGGATTCGATCTTGTTCTGTTTAATTAATAAATTATTTGAGTACGGAAAAAGTCTGTGTTCACCGTCTTTAATTTACCAAGTCCTTCATAGTTAAAATTGTCAACTTGAATCCCGGATGGCCGATTGAAGTTCGTCCATCACATATGGTGGAAGATCCGACTCTACACAGCATGGCGTGACCACACGCGGACACAGACCCGCTGGTCTGTATGGTATGGTAACTATACAATGTAAATACTTTTTTTATATTTTGACCAGCGTATTTTGTTTGTATAAATGTGGTTAATACAAAAATAGAAAAACCCGTACTCTGTATTTAGCCTACACGTGTTAAATGTAATTGTTTCAAGATGGTTAGTAAATATGAGTGCAAGTTTGACGACACATATTCAGGAACAGAAAATCTCAACCTTTTTCTTAATAGATTCGAGACAACCGCTAAATTGCGAGATTTTGCTAGCGACAAAAAGGCTTTAGCTTTGGGCCCTCGATTAAAAGGTCCAGCCGCTGTTTGTTTGTTTTTTGGTTTGTCAGACAGTGATAAAAATGAGTTCTCTAAAGTGGTCACTTCCCTCAAACAAGTACTTGAAGGGGATAGCGCTAGATGGGTCCGCGAAGCAAAACTCGCTGACCGTTCACAAGGCGAATCCGAGTCAATTGATGCTTATGTGACTGACATTCTTCAATTGAGTCGTCAATTGAAATGTTAAGAAATGTCCTAGGACACACAAAGTACTTGAGCGAGACATTTTCAATTGTATATACCAAAGACTCTAGTAGATACTATTCTTTACAATTGACATGATCATGTACCGTCAGCTCATTTTGGATTCCATAGGACTTATAGTAAAGTCTGTGTTGGTTGTCTGTGTTCCAGAGGCGTGTGGTCACCATAGCTCCCTGTAGACTGCAGTTTGTGTATTTATGGATTCGGTCTTGTTCTGTTTAATTAATAAATTATTTGAGTACGGAAAAAGTCTGTGTTCACCGTCTTTAATTTACCGAGTCCTTCATAGTTAAAATTGTCAACTTGAATCCCGGATGGCCGATTGAAGTTCGTCCATCACAGTACTAAGTTCTCAAGTACAGCTGACATAACGCTGGAACTACCCGTAGGTACAAAGAGGGCGCTGCGCTGGCTCTCTCGATCTGATCAGAGAAAATTGATTACCTTTGCAGGGTGTGTTGTCCGTGTTCAAGAAGTATTCCCTAAAGCAGGTGCATGTGTTGTCATCACGGCATACCCGCACACCGCCATCACACAGATCACAATTATCACCTGTCATGAAAACATTACCAAAGCTTAAATTGAGTTTTCTTACACCGGTTTCCCGATGTAGACTTTGCCGCATTCACATGGAATGCGGTAGACTCCCGGCTTGGAAGAGGAGTCCTGCTTGTCCTTGTGAGTGTGGAGGCTGCCTTGGAGTTTGTTGCCAGATTAGTGGTACACCTTGACGCCGTCTTGTCGGAGGATGCGTTGAAGATAATGAGAATGGGCACACAAGCTTGCTCTAGGATCCTAGCTATTTGGCATCCACACAGGATGCAACTTCACACTTCACCGATTTCGCTTTGCTTAAATGTTTACTTTCTTAGAATTTAGGTACTCCCCTGAAGACGGTCAAAGCATACTGACCGGAACATTGAGTTTATACCTCTGGTTCTTTTCAGAACCATTAGTTGAGAAATTATTCGCACATGGTGTTTCCGCAAACCTTTCATTATTTAGTATCTCCACTCAAATCTTACTTAAAATATCATGAAAAATCCTGCTTGAATAAGTCAATAATAGGAACAAGCATCCTGTGAAATCAGTGCGCCTAGTATGTTGAACTACCATCATATCCTTGCGACGGTTAGAACCAAACCATCGCACTTTCAGTAAACGGAAACCGTTGTGTCAAGAAAAACAAATGAAGATGCATTTTCACAGTTTTCTCAAAAGGTATATCTACTGAGCTGAAAGGTTTGTTCTTTAATAACCGGCTTAATATTTATTGTATTGTTCTTCCTTGATTCAGCAAAAACATGTTTTTTTTCTAAAATGGTGCCTATTACGTTTAAATCTGGGCCCATTTTCATGATGCTGCACGCAACTTTCTGCTAACAGAGCCTCTGTCTTGTTCATGGAGACTGTAAGCAGTAAGCACAGCGAGGAGCACGCTTACCTCAGAGGAGAAAAGTGACGTTACAAGATAATTAAATCTCCATGCGTGCGCAACTGTTGGCACATCTGTGCCGTGAAATGATGTGAATCAGCACACATTTTCTGGCAACTATTAAGCAGTGCCATGAAATTGGCCCCCATTCTGAAAGATGATGTGGTGTAGCTTAAAGGGGAAGGGGGAGGGTTGACACACCCAAAAAATCGTGTAAAATAACTTTCAGACTAAAACTGTACACCCCCCTCCTCCCACTCTCTCAGTCTCTCAGTGACAAAATGGAGAAATATACCCTATCAAGTGACTGACAGTTTTGTAAGTGGGGCTTATATTGGTACAATGGACAGGCTGTGGCAATTTTCTCAACTGAAGGTACCATGCCTTGCCTGCCAGTAATATATATAATCGGTTGAAGTACTGGTCAGTACCTGGCAATGATTGATTTAATTCAATGACCAAAAAAACGAACAAAAGGTTCTTTCACGCATATCCAAGCTAAACAAAGGCATTGGTCTTTGTTAGAGTGCAATGACTGCTAGGCATAAGGGTTAAATTTATTTTTAAAATGAACAGCTGAACTCGGTTTTTATTTACCGCGACACTCTTCGAGCCTTCCCCGGACACAACGGCATTCGATGGTCCCATTGACGTCGGTCTGACAGATCTGGACCTTTTCCTCCGGACAGTTCATGTAGTCAGTCGAGCACTCATCAATATCTGCAAGCGGACAAAGCAAAAACCCATGCTGATCGCCAGCTGTTTTTTATTTCCAATGAGTGGAACTCGGAACCACAACTCAAGTGAAACAAGTCTCAATGGTGTGGAGTAAATTTTCCTTGAATGTCCCTCCCAGTGGTCTCCCCCAACTCTCCCTTTTGTAACCGATGAAGGGGTACTTGTGCACACGACCAATATTAAGGTTTTATATCTTTGTGTATGGGCTCCGCGCGCTAAGAAAAGAGGGCGCATTTTTACCTCCTCTGAGAGCTCCGTGGACGGGACACACAGCGTGCACGGACATGGGCGTCGCCAGGATTTTTTCTAGAGGGGGGCAAAAAAAATTTTTGCCCAAAAATGCTTGTATTTCTCAACACATTCTCGATTTATCAGTTTTAGAGGGGGGCAGGGACATTTTGCCCCCCCCCCCCAACTCATTAAATTTACACCACTTTGTCTTCGCGCCTCTTTTTTTTTTTTTTTTCTCTTCTTTTTTTTCTTCCTTTTTTTTTTTTTTTTTTTTTTTTGCTTTTCCAGGGGGGGGGGGGCAAGTGCCCCCCTTGCCCCCCCCCTCGCGACGCCCATGTGCACGGACTGTACTGTACTGGTTCGCGCGTGAAGTAAACACAACACCTTGAATGTGCAAAAGCTATAGCCACCGTGTCTTCGTGCGAGCGGCAGGCGTTGTCGGCGAGAAATACGTCCAAATTCAATTTGTGATGGTCTCCAAGACTAATCCCAGCCTCCAATACCTTTGGATACTTTTGAAACACAGAGTGAATGGATCGGGAACCAGTCTAGGTCACCCCCTCCTTTTCTGGCCGTTGATGGGGTGCTTGTGCATAGAGTCCATTATCTGTCCTTTTCTGAATTTCACTTGTCTAATAAACGGAGCATACTTTGCCTTTCAGTATAAAATGTACACTCAGCAGAATTGTATTACTCGTGACTCGGACATTTCCCAGGACTCACACTCGGACTTGAGTTACGATGACAAATGAATGACTCAGACTCGACCTAAATGGCTCGGGACTTGACCGAAATTACCACAAACCTTTTTTTTCCAAACAAAATTACAACTTATTTGAAAACGATCCTTTCATGAGCACGCGTTGTGTGGTACAGAAGAATCATATCTCACTAAGAACTTATAATGCACACACGCATGGCTTGTTTTTCAATATATTGTACTTAAAAGTGACTCGTGTCTGTCTCAGACTTGGACTTGACATGTGTGACTCCTGACTCGGACTCAGATTCGACCTGCATGACTCGGGACTCAAGAGTCTGGAGCGATGACTCACACTCGGACTCGATGGTTGTGACTCGAATACAAGTCTGCCACTAATAGGCCAATATGCATGATGTGTTCAGACATTTAGTGAAAACGTTAGCTGCTGTCATTTAATATTTCTGTGCAAGATTTGTAAATAAAAACAGTTTCGAGTTCTGACAAATGGTGACTCTTTTAGTCGGGTTTGGTCACATTTATATTCCCTCCATTTTTCTGTAAAGGACAATCAATGAAATTCAAAAGGAGATCATTTAACTTTCATCCAACGAGCCTCCCTGCCTTTATTTCAAAGTGAAGTTCTCAATTTCACGAAGATCGGTAAACATGTGCTTATAAGATAGTAGCTTCATAGTGATCAACAGCAGTTTTACCGCAAAGATGTCATTAGATCTCTTTAGACTTTTCTTAGCAACACACATGACCTGGGCTCTTACCATCACATTCCCGGGTGTCGGTGTTCGTGATGTACCCGGCTTTACACGGACATTCATAACCGCCCACCGTGTTTCTACAGGCTTGCATCTCCGTGCAGTTATGTTTAATCCAGTCTTGCAAGAAAAAAACCAAAATATTTATCATCAATCAGGTAGGCAGTTAGTATGAAATGTACTTATTTTAAAGGCGTCAAGTTGGGTATGATATCTAAAACTTCACTTTTAAACTTGAGGAGTTCAAGAAGCGTGCTTCTTATTTTATCTGCAACGCGAAAATGCCCCATTTACAAAGTTGTTTCATTGTATACATATACTCCATACATATTGTATTTTCTAATTTATTATAATTATACCAATTAATGGGCTTAATATTCTAAGGAAAATATAACGAAAGACAGAGAGAAATGTATGTTGATCAAGAGAAAGGTATCCCCTTTCTAATAATGGATGCTTCCTCAGCGGTACAGGTGAGCTATCATTGGCCCTCTCTATGGAAAAGTAATGCATAAGCACTTCACTGGGCGCATAAATGAATATCAGTCTGAAATCATGAGTCAAGTTGCTACACATTTTGGCCGAGTTTGGGCGGTCTGAACTGGACATGGGTATATTGTTCTTGGCTCAAACGGTGGAGACACGACCAACGAACACTAGCCTGCACTCGGAACAGGATCACACACAACGTATCCGTTGGGGTTTTGCAAGAACAATATACCTGCGTCGAGAACAGCCTGCCCGAACTCGGTCGTTGATACCAGTAAAAAATGATATTAAACACAATATCGCGACAGATAACACACGAAAGTCTAGTGACTTGTCCCCACTTGAAGTCTACTGTGAGTGTAGGCTGTGCATTAATGCCATACAGCTTCTGCATGGAGACAATAGGATGGTGTGATTTGCACGCTGCTTCCAAACAAATTAGCGCAGAAAAAAAGGGACATTCTTTTATTTGCAGCGCTCGGTTTTGCAAACTCACCTTCACAGAACGTGTTGTCAATGATGAGTTGGTAGCCTCGATACAAGGCGCAGTTGAGGCTCCCGTATGCATCAGTCTCACAGCGTCGTATGGAGGATGGGTCAGCCGAGAGACTGCCAGAAACAGCTTGAACGAAAAATATATACGTGGTCCACAGCTTTATCAACAAAGAACAGGAAATTTGCTTCTTTGTGGACTGAGTTGTGAGTTTGTTCAATCATAAACTAACAAATCTGGTTAACGTAATTTGGAAATTGTGAGGTTTTAATATCTCAGCAGCTCAGCATTATTACGTAGTTCTACACTCTGCAGGTCAGTCTTGACTAGCTAATTATTAAATTTGCTGTCTAAAGACCAAACCAGGGAGACTATTCAGTTTATTACGACGGGCCCCCTTCAATGGTGAAAGCATTGTGCTACCTATTGTTCGAATAATCTGTCAAGGAGAGGTTGCTTTGTACAATAGCGTGCACAATGGTTTTCGCCATTGATAGGGGGGATCGTGAGTGTGCAATTATCAGGTGCTGGGATTGGTCTAGACAGCTGTAGTCAACTGGGTGAAAGTTTGTCTGTTTCCTAGTCAAACTGACTAGGTTTTTTTTTCCATTCTGGTCTCAATCTGTAGATCTGAAACACCCACCTCTACTACTCTCCGTCAGGGCGTGTCCATCACGTTCAATGCACGCACAAGTGAGTGTCAGTGATATCAGCTGGCAGACCTGCAACTCGGTGCAGTTGTAGTCTACGACTGAACACGCGTTAACATCTGCCAAGAAAATTTCACAAAAGTTAAAATAGATGTTTTCAACTACTATTTTTCTGGCAATACCTATCCACCTCTGAATGAGACATCCCCCCCCAAAAAAAAAAATCCAAATAATTTGCGGACCGATTGATTTCCACCAAAACCGGTTCCCGCCAACCTATCAGTATCAATAATGTATGATCTGGGAGCCAGTCTTTTCGTAGGACGGATCTTGCATAAAAGCAAGCCACAATAACAATTTTTTTTTAAGGCTTGCACATGCCTGAAATAAAATAAAGTAATGATTCACAGTCTTTTTTCTTTGTTACAACATATTAGTTGAAAAATCATTGGCAGAAAAAAAAATGTTTGCTGTCGACTACAGGATATTGAATTTAATTGAAGAAAGTTTTGGGGGGAGTGTGGCCTAGTGGTTAGGGCTCGTGACTCATGATCAGAGGGTCAGGGGTTCATATCCAGCTGCTGGTTGTTATGTTGTGTCCTTTGGCAAACCACTCTACCCCCACTTGCCTCTTTCCACCCGGGAGTATAAATAGGTCAAAGCATTAGCTGGGGAGTAACCTGCGATGGACTGGCATCCCATCCAGGGGGAGCAGAAATATTCTCAGTCGTTTCAGTTCGTGACAGGCTTTACTACTACCCGGATAAGCTAAGGGGTCAAGCGGGAAGGCGTTTGCACGAGTTACAAGGAGGTCGTGGTTTGAGTCCCGCTCGAGTAAGTTTGTGAATTCTGCTCTCAAGTTCTTGTTCTGCACTCAATGTACCGTGCTCAGAAATGCAAAACCCAATATAACAATGCACGTATCTTACCGCCAAAGAAACGCATCATACATGATAAAAAGATAATGTAAACCTCGTAAAGCTGGTCCCAAAGCACACCAAGTACCATCCAGTTGATTCCGACTGGCTATTGGCTGGAAGGCCCCTCTGGCACCAGCACATATCGCATCATACATGTACAATGTCCAGAGCATTAATCAGCAAGCAAGGACAAGTGAATGTGTAATTAGATCGCCGTGTTATTGAACCCTAACTCCCTAGGGTGATTTACCAGGAACCTTCCTCATCCTTGCAAATCCCGACACCATATGGTAAACTTTGCACATTAACAGCTGGACTCTGTTTATTTGTGGTTTGCCTGACCCCTTGTAAAGCACAGTCAGTTAATTAATGCATGCAGTACTCATCCTAACAGATCCCAACAAATCCTGGTCTTGGAGTTTGGCTGATCGGGATCGCTAAGGTTAATAGGGTGTAATATTGGAAGTAATCATACCATCACATTCACCGATGTCAGTCACGCTACCGCTGACGTAGGAGCAGTTTGGTTGTAATTGATCTGTGACGTCACATATTTTGATCATGTCACAATTCATAGGAGGTGCACACTCGTCTACATCTGTTAAACAGAGAAGAAAAAGGTGTGACTTTTGTAACAATGTTAAGTTTTGTTGACTGTTTTAAATGATTGAATCAAGTACAGTATAGTTGCAAGTACATAAAACATGAACACAAATGTACCTTTATTTTTGAGCGCATAAACAGTAGACATGATACGTAGACATATTTACTGGTCTGCACCCTATAAAGAAGCGAGGTTTTGAAAAATTTCCCCAAAACCACTTGTACGGCACGAGGAAGGATGGATGACTCATATTTCATCAAAAATTGCGAGAAAATAAATCTCTGACTGCGATTTCTGGCCTAAAAAGAAGCCCTCTGTTTGCGGCTACCTTGCTGTAGGGCGCCCCCAACGGGAGTTAATTGAGTTTTTGCTACTTCCGACACCAGATTACCCCCCCCCCTTGTTCGCTCGAAATTGCTGTGATCGGACGATGGTCCATCGGCCCCATTCAGATTTTGGGCGCATTTGTTGCGGAACCGCCATTGCTGACCCCTTTTGAAACGCTGCCCCCCCCCCCAGGTTCCGCCCCCTGAAAAAAAACACTGTCGTGGAGTGTAAAACGCCTGCGCAAACATTTGACAACAAACGATGGAAGGCGCCATTTTGAAATTATAGGTAGCAGACCAGTAAATAAACTTCCAAAGACCCCAATGGTAAATGCTCCCACTTCAAAAATTCGGGGAAAATACTCACAACTCTCCAAGGTGTTCGAGACACACATCAAATTAAAGCTTATTTCATCATCTTTCATTTTCTTTTCAATTTGCGGGGGGTCAACGGATGACTTTGAGGAGAAATTTCCATCTGAAGATGTTCACCCCTGAAAACAGTCCAGAAGCCCATCGCCATTTTGAAAAACGATGCCTACACTCCATTGCAAAATAGAGCGCTTTTAGGGTCCAAATTACATTAAAATTACACAGAACTGCAAGCTCCCAGTCCTGTGCACGGCCTCCAGCCATATTTTTTACAAACCCTCAAGTTCATGGCCCTCAGCATGCTCAAATACTGAAGATTTTGAGGGCATGCAAATCGTGATTTGGCCGGCGTAGGCAATTTCGGAGCGATTTACTGGTCGGCACCCATAGCGTGGCATACGGCAAACATGACGACTGTCACTAGTCCACCGCTGCGATTTTTTGAAGTATCGTACATCGGCATTAGGCCTACACCATTTCGTCACCGTTTTCACGAAGAGCCACATATGTCAAAAATTACCATTTTTTCGATTTTGATTTTTTTCAATATTTTGCTTTAAAACAATGTACTTAACCATTTTGACATGTTTTGTAAGCAAAACATCATTAATTTCCAAGTTACATTAATGTTGCAAGGGACCAAAATCTCGATAAATGAATTTTGCGTTTTCACGAAGAGCCACATACATTTTGGCCCTTTGAACGCGTACAAAACCCATTGCACGGAAATAGGTAAAATTAGGTCAAATGAGATTTGCGTTTACACGAAGAGCCACATATCTTTGTTACATTTTCAGCTGCGTGCGCGTACATACGCGCGCCTATGGAAATACACATTGAACAGAAAGGGCCAATATGTCGGAAACCTGAATTTGCGTTTTCACGAAGAGCCACATATCTTTACTAATTAATTTTCACTAATTAACTGCTGAATTAAGTCTAATTACTGGGTTCATGTAAAAATGCAGCTCACAGACAATAGTGTGATGGTTTCCTTGCTTCACAAAGTTGTTGCAAAGTGGTATTTTTTGCAGTTTTAAAATATGAGAAACTTCTTTTGCGATTATCTCGAAAACACTTTTTCTTCAAAATCGACATATGTGGCTCTTCGTGAAAACGGTGACGATTTGTGTTTACATTTTGGAGGCTGTTTTTTGTGCCTTTCGTGGTGCAAAAAGACGTGAAAAATGTTTAGAAAAAATGTTCAAAAACCCTCAAGGGTTCGAAACCACACGTCATAGAATTGAACAGATTTCAAGGTTTCAAGGTTACCGCATCAACTGGCCCGGCCCCACAACATGTCAGTCACGTGAAGATACACGTGATATTAACGTTGCATCACTGACCAATCAACAGAGTTGTAATGACTCAAGTCAATGACTCCGACTCGAGTCACAATTTTTGGAGACTCGACTCGACTCGAGTCCCTAAGGGTAAATGACTCGACTCGACTCGAGTCACTGTGAGCAAATGACTCGACTCGAGTTCCTCATCAGAAGACTCGACTCGAGTCGAGCGAAGGCTAATAAGACTCGAGTCTCAACTTTGGGAAAGGTGTTTGCAATGACTTACGGTGCAAAATTATGCTCACTTTGCTTTGCGAATAACATTCATGTATAAATATACAACGTAAACGCACAAAATGATATCCTGGAACCAGATTGTTAAACACATTTTCTAATTCGCTGTTTCATCATTGGCTTTGGGAGATTTCTTATAAAGCTATTGGATTCGAACGCTGGCTAAACTTATGGCCTCCTTTTAATTTTGGTATATACTGCTAAAATATTCGCGACTCGAATTGACTCGAGCTAAATATTTGACTCGATTCGACTTGACTCGACCTTTTGACCTAATGACTCGACTCGACTCGAGTCACGTCTTTAAAATGACTCGACTCAACTCGAGTCACTTCTGAAAAATAACTCGACTCGACTCGAGTCGAGTCACAAAAATCAGTGACTCGTTACAACTCTGCCAATAGATGCCAAGGTTTTCCTGGCAATTGAATATATTAGAGTATTATGATAATTACGGTCCGGTTAGCGGTCGTTGCATTGGCAGGAATGTGTTTTTGTCATTGCATGCATCGTGTGTACGTGTGCGAGTCAACATGATGTGACACTCGGACCATGTGGTCAGAAAACTTGCGGAAATTGCACTTGAAGTTGGATTTTTTTCATGAATGGATAACGGTAGGAGAATTAGGAGATTAATTAATTCATTGGTGCTTTGTGCCCATGGTACGTTGTTTGTTTAATAAAAAAGCGTAACTCCAGCCTGAGGTCAGTGCGTTTTAGCTAAAACCGTTCATACATCGTAGTAGGAGATAAAGTCGTTCTGGTTATTCCCTAAACCCTCCCTCCGAGGGGGTTTAAGTTGCCGTTTTATTTTGGAGTTGAACTCGATTCGGTCTAAAAAAAAAAGCATTCAGACAATCTGTTAACAAGAAAGTTACACCAAAACGAGTTCAACCGGTGTTTTAAGGGAATTTAAAACGGTGTCTGAACAAGTTAGTGATTATAAAGCCACTGTTTGGACAAAGGATTAAGATAGATTAGAGGGCTGGCCAGCAGTGATGGAGGTCTCGAGGCCTCGGCCTCGGAGTGCAAGGCCTCGGCCTCAGCCTCGGCCTCGGAGCCTTCCGGCCTCGATGAATCGGTCGAGGCCGGCTAGACGCCGCCCAGTTTGAAGTGTTTTCTATTTCAATTAATTTATTTTTTTACCATATTAAACCTTCGAGAATCTGCCACAGTGGGTTCCGTGAAACGAAAGCAGATACGCCCGAATGAATCACGTATCATATGCGGGGAAAACATCACATCCGAGGAACAGCCAATCACAGGGCGCCTCGATTATTTGTGCTGAGTAGGACATGTAATTGCCGCTGGGTCAGTATTACATTCTGCATACACGGTTACAGTCCGTAGACCATTGGCTGTTGGATATTCTACTCGGCATTATTAATCGAGGCGCCCTGTCATTGGCTGTTCTGAATGATCCTCGGATGCGATATTGTCCCCACATAATATATGATACGGCCATACCACAGGCGCGGCAGGTATGTACGTTAATGGGCCGGGTAATTCTTTTGTACACACCCGGAGTTGCACCAAAAATGTATCTTTATCTTGTTCGACTTGATTCTTTTCTTATTTTGCATGGATCCTTTGTTGCAATAAGGATAAAGCTACAGTCATAGGTGACTTTTTCTTTGTAATTTGAACGGAAATTTAAAATAACGGAAAAAAAGCGAAAACCGCCGTCTTAGTCAAGGGCTTCGTTCCAGTGCTTCTGGCGAATCTCCCCGGTCACGCCAATGACGTCATTCAGCCAGTAACCTTGGAAATTCCAAGCTACACTCGTCCCTGAATGAGTGAAAGTCACAAGTGCAGTGCAGTGAGAATTAGCCAAAGCGATAATGGGACAGGGAACCAACCCGTTATTCGCATGCATGCGTGCTCGCGCGACGCGAAACCTGTCTATACTGCGCTTCAGCTTTCCACGTGCGTGCATGATATCACACAGTTCATCAACATTCTCGGATCATTTGATTTGGAAGCAATGGCCACGAGGAATGTGAAGACCATGGCAAGAGGAAACACAGGCACTCCAAAACTCAGTGAATTCAAATAAAAAGATTTTTAAAATCCAACAAATCGGCCTCGGCCTTGACCTCGGAGGTTGTGGCATCGGCCTCGCAGTTGTGGCCTCGGCCTTGTCCTCGGAGGTTGTGGCCGCGGCCTTGGCCTCAGCCTCGGAGGTTCTGGCCTCAACTACAACACTGCGGGCCAGTTTACAGTTACATGTAGATTGACTGTTTTCCATAAGAAGTTTCTAGTGGAGGTTACTCGCAATGATACAAATGATCCAGTACCGGGTTTGAGAGAGCAGGTAGTGGTGGGAGCATACTGCTCGACACCATGTGAAAAGTTTTAGAAAACCTGGGATTCACATTTTGTTTGTAGTTTTTGTTTTAAACACCTCATTAGCAAAAAAAAAGGCCTGTGGTATCCTTACCAAGGCACGTTTTGCCGTCCATCCCAAGTTGGTAACCATCTGCACACGAGCAGTTGAAAGTGCCCGCGGCATTGGTGCAAATCTGATCGCAGTCGTGATGCGGTCTTCCCAGTTCACATTCATCTATGTCTGTTAAGTGCAAAAATAAACAGAAAACAGAAAATTCAAAAAGGGTCTGAAGTACAAATAATTCCAGCAGACTCCTCTGGAAGATACGCCATAGCCCAAAAAAATAGCAGTCACATTTTCCACATCATCATAAATCAACTCTCAAGAAATACCGAACCTTTCAAAGAAAATGCATTTAAATGCACGACCTATGCAGCAAACACCTCGGATGTGGTTGGCGGCTGTTCTTTTCCTTTACATTTTTAGTTGTCTACATCTCGTCTGAGTTTTAATAAAACGCTTTGATCTTTACCGGAACAATGTCTACCAGACACGAGATCATATCCCATTGAGCAACTGCAGTGGTAGCTTCCTGCTAAGTTGATGCAGATTTGTTCACAGTTGTCACTCATTCTGGCGCATTCGTCATTATCTTAAAATCAAGAAAAATGTTGATAACAAAGATTTATTACTTGGTAAATAAAGTCTTGATCTGTCAGATTCTATGGCCACGCACTGGAGTAAACTCTGTGCTCTGAGGGCCATGCAGATGTTAGCACAAAAAGTTGGTAAAATGATGGCACTTTTTCACAGAAATATTTCGGCCAAATACTCGGCACGGTGGTGCTTTTACGCAAGCATCCCACTTTTTCACCAAATTAGGAATTTCCAATGGTTCCTTTTGGTGAAATCTGTATCGTAATTTGCCACTCTTAATTTACATGTCAAACGTTTTACATTTCCTTCCTTCCACTTTGGTTGGAAAATAAAGAGTATCAAGCAGAAACATTTCAATGAATTTTACCAACTTTATGTGCTCACATTGGAATGAACCTTAGCACAGAGTTTACTCCAGTGCGTGGCCATATACAATGTAATAGGGCTAGGTGGATTGCTGTGTTTGTTTGGTTAGTTGACATATTTAATATAGTGAAAGACCATCAAAATATAGAGATGATAATATAATTATATCAATTGTTTATATCAATCTATTCTCTGGTTGGCTCTTCAATTCTTTTGACACTTTGGTACAAAACCGCAACAAACAAAACACAATTTCTGCAGTGTCACTGGGTCAAATTTGTTGTAAAATGTGTGTAATTATAGCTTCGGCATCATTCTACGAATAACTAAGAGCTCGGCACGAAAAAACATAAATTTGAAATCGGTAAAAAATAAGACCCAAAGCAGGCCTAGTAAAGCTGGTCCAAGAATGCACACAATCATGTTCAACCTGTTCAGTGGCTATACACTGGAAGTCTTTTGTTCTTTTTGTGTACACAATGCGACGGATTTAAGCCAGTTATGGGGTAATCCTTTACAATAGCACTGCACTACGGCTCTCTTTTCCAATCAACTGCAACATCTCAAAGAGGACAGGTGCAGAGGGCACTGGGCTGGCCCTCTCGGACCAGCCAAAAAGTACAGAAATGGGGTTGATTCCACCTCTGGTTCGTTTAGGAATAAACCTCACCTCCACATTCTTTTCCATCAGCTCGCAGGTTGTATCCCCGATAGCATTCACATCTGTAGCTACCCGGCGTGTTCACGCACCTATGGTGACAATCGTGGGTGCGAGACATGGTACACTCATCGATGTCTGTGAAATAAAATAAAATAAATTCCAACTCACGAAGAAAAGTTTGCCTTTATTTCCAACAAAATCTGGGGAAAATGTTGGGCAGTTCAAAATTCAACAAAACACTGCTTGTCAAGTGACTTTTCCCACTTGGTAATGTTTACAGTATCCACAAAATAGATTTTCTGTATTAATCCAATGTCTGGTATCTGTGAGCAATGCAAATTTTATGCGACCCCGTGCGCCAGCCAATTGCAGTTGACTTTAGAAATTGTGACGTCATTTCGATCAAACATGTGGACTATAAGCTGTTGATTGGTCAATTTGGCTGACATGTTTTTGTACTACAACGGGTTTCCCAGGAGACCAGATAGAATGGTCAAAATCTCGAGGTCAAGATGCAGTCATGTTTTGCATAATTAATCGCCGAATCTGCTCGCATATCATAGACCCTTGCTGTACAAGGGGATATTCCACAGACTAGCTTTAGACCAGATGCCTGTTGAAATATACGAATAATAACTATAAAGCAATACATAATCTTTTTTTTTTTCTAGACAAAGAGTATTAGTACATTCTAATTTCAAAAGAATGAAAAGTGACTACACCATTTACGGAGAAAATTATCCAATTTTAAATTGAAATACTCTGGACAAAAATCGATCCAGTGGAAACTAGAGTGAAAACCAGATCTATTTAATTGAGTGAATGTCACACTAAAATGTGTGGTCCCAATTTTTAGTTTGGGCCAAAAAAAAAAAAGAATCACTGTATCCGGTTGAAACTGGCGACAGGATTAGAAATTAATTTCATTGATTGCCATCTCGGAAAGTAATTGCAGCCAGTAATTGCACAAAATAGTGCGTGAGAATGTTTACAAAGAAACTCAAGAAAACAGAGATTAGAATGTCATACCCCAGCAGCCGCGACCGTTGCTGTCCAGACGGTATCCAGTGTTGCACTCACATCGGTAGCTCCCGACCGTGTTGATGCAAATCTGTGCGCATTGGTTGGATGACTCACTCTGACATTCATTGATGTCTGTAACAAAAAATGAAGAACAAAAATCAAGGAGTGAATACCGTTAAAGGGAAGATAAAGCTGCAATCATTTTATAAAATGTTAAATAATTGGGTTTTTTTTATATGAATTTACAATTAACACTTAAAACAATGACAGTGCAGGCATTTTGAGCAACGTTTTGAAAGAGAAGCATGTGTGACTTGAATTTAAGGGCCTACATGTAACTTTGCACCCCAAAAATGCCCAATCATGCTGAATACGGCATCCCATTTTTTTATTTTGTCATATTGTTTTTGGCTCTGAGTATAGGGTCGGTCGGTCGGTCGGTCGGTCGGTCGGTCGGCAAAAATAAACTTTAAAAAATGAAAACAAAATGCAGTTGCACCCGTATACATGGCTAAAATATATATGTGCGTATTGTCTCCTGTTTTGTTGGTTTCTATGAGTTTATCGTGAATTGATATCACTGAATAAAATGATAAAACCATCGTTTGCAAAACTGCAAGATGGAGTTGACTTTACTAGGTAACATTATATCTGCGCCACGCAGCTCATTAACATACCGACAGGTATGATATTCAACAGTAAGCCCCTGATATGATGAGAGGCAACACCCTTGCATCTTCTGGGGTTACAGAGGTTGCTATACGTTGTGCTTCAAGTCAAATCAGATTTTATTTTCCACAGCTTTTCGAAATAACACAGAGCCTGATTGTATGAGTCTGATATTCATATTTTTTTCTAATTAAAGTCGGCGGCAGTAAAAAAGGTTTGTGTTTTCTTGGGTCGGGAGCCCAAAATAGGTTTGGTCAGAAACGAGAACCAAAGAATAAAGAATGTCCTTCCATGAAAACCACAAGTGTATTTGTGTGACTACATCTTTACAACTATCATCATCTTGTGTTAACGGGTATTATAGTCAGAAAGGGTGTATAAAAGGGCCCGCCTTTAAACTAATGTGCCTATCAATTGTTTTCACCAGCCCCCACCAACCTCTCCAACCCCCAACCAAAAAAACACAACAACAACATCCAAGATGTGGGAATTGTGACATTTGCATTGACCAAATTCCCACCCCATAGGCAAAATTTAAGCGACAATCTCAATCATGCATTGATAGGGCACCCTGCTGCCTGTCCATCTAGTGTGTCAATGGGCAAGAGTTCTGAAGAAGATATTTCCACTTACCGATCGAAAATCAGTATTTTGTATAAATAATGTGCGGACTCCGAAAACTGCGAGTCCAATCGTCAAAGAACAGCAATGTGAAAACTGCGCCCACGCTGGTGCGGTACGGTGAACGTTGGCAGCCGAGTGTGTACAGTGGTGTATCTCTACACACGTGAATCTGTGACCTCGTAAGATTAGTTCGACGAAATACTGTCCGAAATCGTTTATAATCATCGGCTAGCACAAGCCACAAAACTTACAGAATAACAGTTACTATTCATAAAGACGACGAAATGAAACTGATGTCGTAGTCTTGTAGAAAAAAACTCGAGGAAAAAGCTTTCAAAGTGTACTCAACAATCAGAACTTGTCATTCGTTTTCCCAAGGACGATTGTCAAGATCATAGAAGCCTGTAATAGTCAGAGCACTTTTCGTGCACACTTCATGCAGGAAAATTGTCTAGCAGCCAGAATCCAAATGTTGCGTGCTGACTATTTAGTGCGCATGCGCAAGAATGCGCGGCAAAAAGTACAAATGTAACAAACTTGCTACAGTTCCATACCTGGACATCACTTGACACGGTGCACAAAACCCTATATATGTACATGTAAGAGACTGCGGGTCTGAAGAAATCCGAGTCTTTTTTCTTAGTCAGTGATTCAATATTTTCCCTGCTAAATTTGACTTTTTTAGGACATGTATGTTATCACTTTCTGATTGCTGATAGGTCACTGCAGGGAACACCTAGTGATGTCCATGTACGTGTATGGAATTCTTCCCTGCCAATGCACTAGATGGACATGGGGGGGGGGGATTGGATGGGTGCATAACGGGGAAGAAGTCAGGGCTCATAGCATGCAAATTGGTCTTCAACTGCAGTAATCACTAGTTACGTCCACTGTTTGTGAACTGTTTGGACGGTATTGGCTTTCTCCAATGAAACCGAGACTGTTCTTGATTCGTACTCACCATATTGGCAGCTTCTACCATAGTATCCACGCTTACACCGGCACACGTTAGGACTGATGCATGATCCACGTGATGATGGACAATAAGTGCTGCATATCGCTGTGAATTAACATCCAATTAGCATACATGTTTAGTACAACTGATTTGTAAATAACATTATTTTCAAAACTTTAGAAATAAATAAAAAATAGTCTTGAAAATGTTTTTCCAGGTACCACTGGAACGATTGTGATTGGTCACTGTTGGAGGGGTGAGCTTTAAATCTTGATTCTGACTGGCCAATATTGGCAGGGTTATATTAGGGCCTAACAATACATGTTTAATATAATGAGTAATGAAACTGGTCTCTAACAAGGGTTTCTAAAAAATTCTTTATTCTAATAAGCTTTTAAAATAAAATTTATATTACTTGTCTACAGCTGTCAATAACACGTGTGCCAGTCGTAGCCCAGATTGACGTAGCCTAAACATGTAACACACGAATTTATATTTCAAAATAGGGAGCCTATGGGATCCATGTACAGGTACTCCATCAACGGCCAGAAAAGGCGAGTTGGGGGGGGGGGGGTTACCCTGCACTTTTGTGTAAATAAAAAAATCGCGTCCCGTCCAGGGAGCTCTCAAAAGATGTAAAAAAACACGACCTCTTTTGTTAGCGCACAGAGCCCATACTAAAATAACAATGTGTGGAGAGACAATCATCTAATTCTTTACAATGAAGACGAATCAGAAAGGTTGGCACACACATTGCCTCATCAATGCATCTGTTATCCAAAATGCATTGCAAATATCGAAAAAAAATTCTAGGTTTTCAGTCCCTACCTAATTGCTTGGGCTTTTTCCAGAGCATTCATCTGGGATTTTTTTTAACCCACATCTAAAACTTGGCACAGCCATTTGGGTAAATTTGAGATATAAAAGAGTTAGCCAGGCCAAATACTAGCGCCCACTGTATTGTGTCTATCATATCTGCAAACGCTGTGTTAAATGTTTAGGCTATTTCCAACTGGGCTACGACTAGCACACGTGGCACACCTCCTATGCAAACATAAATCCTGTGCAAAGTAGTCACTTCAGTCAAAAGCAATCAAGTGACTGTTTTCAACAGTTAAGGGCTCCTAGCCTACATACATCAGGATTGACAGGCTGCGACTGTTAATGTAACATGATACAACTGTGCTTTGAATGTAGGTGATTGATAAGCTAGTTGAGCCTACTTTTTGCCTGCTCTTATGTCTGACTGAATTTGACTAGTCACAGTGCTTGCTTAACATATTATGATCTGACTGTTGTCAACTAGCTTGTGTGACAGGCATGGCTGGCGAAGATGATTGTTCTTTTGACTGTCTGTGACTGGTTAAACAATAGAAGGGTAAATTAATATTCGTATTTTAGTATTCGTATTTAGGCGACATAGTTACCAGTATAATCTTATTTAGGAGGAAAACATTGTTGCCTGCTACAAATGTCCCTGTCCCTAAATTCGAAGCCCGAAGGACAATGAAGGGACTGGGAACCAGTCTAGGTTTAGTATAAAATAAAAAGCCCACCTACCCATAGAGCACCTTCCATATCGGTCTCTTCGCCAGCCAGGGCAACACTCATTTCGAATGCTGGCGTACATTTTGCGACGGTAGGCATCACAGGATACTTGCCTGTCAGAAAAATAAAGACAAACATGTGGAATAGTCCTATTAATAATATGGCTAACCTAAACTACATTATGAAGTCAATTGGTCAGTGATATGATGCCGTGAGGCCAGCACCTGACTTCATGAAGTACAGTAGAAGTCGAAGTAGGCTTGTAGTTGTATAGGCTGCATGCTCACGTCGGCTGGTGATAACATCGTTTCACTTCAATTCACCACGTGCGATTTCAACCTCATCCCCACTTACTTTATTTTCAACCTCGTTTCCAATAGTACTAAGCACTGGGTTTATTTTTTTCCCCTGATTCAAATAAGGTTTTGCCCTTCACCGACGTATGAACACTGTATACTCGGTGTGTTATAACCCGTGTGAAAGTTGGATAAAAAATCACTCGGGTAGGACTCGAACCCACGACCTCCTGCTTTCTAGTGCAGACGTCTTACTTCTCGACCATCGAGCTATACGTCAGTGAAGGGCAAAATCTAATTTGATCTACATTACCCAACGCCAACCCTGTTCCCAGGGTGTCGAGCAGTACGCGCCCATCACTACCTGCTCTCTCACCCTGGTATTGGATCATTTGCATGTGCATGATTTTGAACACGTATGCAAAATTGCAAATGGGGATGTGGAACAGTCTGGTGCCTGCCTGTGCGTTACATTCGCGTTTGTTTTTGTATTCGGTGTCTGGGGTAAAAACAAAGCCAAATCGTCGCAGCGCGAGCACGGCATGAGTTATGAAAACACGATTTATTTGATTAAACTGTTACGATCTAATCGAGACAACATGCAGTATCACATTTCATATTAGTATGAACTATGAACAAATTGGAAAAGAAATGAGTATTTTCGAGAAGGCGTGGACGAATGATTGCGAAAACAGGTACAGTACGTTGTGAAAAACAACACCAAGTACACGATAAAAATCCATTACTAGCTAATTGCGGAATTGAATCAGGATACAGGAAGAAAGTTACTATCCAGGGCTTACTATTGAAAACGTGGTTTGAAATAAAGTGAGCACTGGGGACATGGTTTCCCCGACACTAAATTCCACCTGATGAATAACCTGATTCGATACTGGTGTTGTTATGGAACGTGTTTTACGTGTTTCACAATCATTTTATTTATTATATCCACACCTTCTCAAAAAAAATCCTTTCTTCTCCAATTTGCTCATAATATTTTATGAATGATACTGCATATTGGCTGCTTGAGATGCATTGTGAGTAGTTTGTCCGTTCTCCTGAATAGTCAGATCGTTTTGGTCTAGTCTGGCAACTTGCTAGCCAAAGATTGCATAATGCCGTGTAGCGGCGCAGCACTATACATCTGCACACAACTCAAATGACGTGACAAACTGAACGGCTGTACACACCAGTAGTTGCACTAAACATGCCCCCAAAAATGTTTAAGGGTTCAGCTTGAGCATGTTGTCATTTTGAGAGGATGCTGCGCGCTGCGTGAGTGACAGGAGAACGATCCCTGTTTATTGAGCGAGAGCATTGTTCAGTTGGAACATGGTACAGTTGAGTTACACATAAACGGGTGCCAAAAAAGGATATAGAAATGACATGAAAACTGTAGAGTTGAACACTTGCGTATCATTTTTTTATTTGTTATTAACAAGATGAGTGTTTTTTAAAGAATAAATCACCTATGACTAGTATGTATGCAGTTCACGCGTCTTATGTATGCATATTTGTAGCTATTATTAGCGTTATTATTTCGAACCCAGCGAAATCGTTCCACGGTAAATTATTTCGTATGCATGTTGAATACTTATCTAGAAATCTTTGTGTGCCTTTCCGCGCGTTCAGGATGTGTCATTTCGAAGAAATTTGTCAAAAATGAAGACCCATACATACGTGTAGAAATACAATTTTAACGTTACCTGGACAAGTACCCAGGGTCATTTGCGTGCAAAATTATATGAGCCCTCCGAGCTACCCGTGTGATTCATGCGACACATATGATTATGGTTGTCGCTTGGACAGATTGATGGCTGTTTCATTTCGCATCCCAGATCCTGTGTGGAGGTCGGCTTTCCTTTCTGTCCATAATAAGACCTCTGGATTGTCTTTGTGGTGAACTTATTTGATATCCCATTTAATGAACAACATTAGCAAGGATCTTTTCCATGCCTGGCCTTTTGTCTTATTTTTTTTTCTTCTGATTTTAGCAGCACTAGGCAGCTGAATAAAGAGCACCATATTGTTCTAAAGCACTTTGATCTTTTTCACCTGCTTATATGTTGCTTTGCATTTAGGTTTTCTGAATAGAGCAATGAAGAATTCCTCTTGATTGGATCATGGATAGAGTGGCTGTGCACATCAAGCACATTCTTGACGAAGTCCTTGTACTGTTTCTTGCCTGTGTCTTCAAAGGTATGCAATGCAGCTATACCACTGTTTCATCCGCGCAGTTGCTACTGTCCAGAGTAACTAGATCTGAGAAATCATCCAAGAAGGGATTGGCCATTCGTCTGATGGTATCAGAGAGGCTGGCAACCTGTACCTGGGAATTCATCTGTGTTGAGAGACCCAGGCTGCTCATGGTGCTGGAACTGCTCTGGGATCCCTGTGTCATCATCGGGAAGGTATTCTTTTTCAAACTGCTTCATCAGCATGGTCATCTCTGGTCCCAAGTTCATCTATCGTCGAAAAGCAACAGGGTTTTCTGTGAGCCCCAAAACACCATCCAAACCTTTTACAATCTTGTTCTCCTGCTCGTAAGCCTGATCAAAAGAGACCGCATAAAATGTGTTTTTCGTCTTGGAAGGGGCCCAGAGAGAAATTCTTCTCTCTATGGGCCCTGATGAAGATGAGAATGAGGGTTTCATATCTCATGATCAGGTTCCAGTAACTGAAAGTAGGGCTCCTCTTCTGTATGTCGTTTCTCCAAGCCGTGGCAGACTCTTCATCTTCGGGGCCCTCGCTGCGCACGAAGGCCTCCTCTGTCTATTGTGTAGGGTCAAGAGAGTGACTTGGTGGGCGTGCCTGGTGCGAGTTAGGTGTGCTGCCTTCAGATACGCTGTGTCAGAGGATGCTACCTCTGCCTCTGTGAAGGCTGTAGTCCAGCCAAGCCAGAACTGTCCAAGACATCGCCAAGTGTATTCCAGAGTGTCATTTGTGTGTTCAAATTACCTAGCATTACCACATGCACTCGCTCACCATACAAGTTTGGCCATTTCCATTTAACAAGATTCGCCAGCTAGGGAAAACAGAGGCTGGCCAATTGTAGTGACTGGTATGTGTCCTGGATTCCAAAATTGACAGCACGTCTCTGGACATGTCATGCTTGATCATAGCAGGAGCGGAGGAAGGAGTGCACATTGTGCTGGAGGGTCTTCCACCGGAGGTTGTATAGAGGCGTGATAGGCATCCCACACAATGGCATCTCCATTGGTGAGTTCTTCTGTCTCTAGAAGTGGCAGTCCATGATCTACCCAGCTGTGTTCTTCTGCTCTGGTCTCAGCTAAGCACCGCTCGACTTGAAATACGTCAAATTCTGTCACTGCAACAGCAGTAATCTTTACACGCGTAGCTGTCAGGAAGAGGGTGCTTTTAATTTCCAGAAGGTGGTATCATAATAAGTGGTCTGCTCTCACCAGTTCAGTCTTGGTAGGCAACTGTAAAAGGCTGATTCCAGTCCCGTGGAATGAGGTTATGGTATATCTCCCCCTCTTTTGTACATGGGTGATGGGGAGTGGGCTATAATGTCATCCTCCCGCTTGTTCAGGTTTGTTTTGAACTATAACCAAAATGTGTTCAATAGCACTGAAAAATGAGACACTGAACAGGTGCAGATCCAGGAATTGTTGTTTGTTGCGGGGGGGGGGGGGGGAGGTTCATGAGCAAATCAGTGGAGAATTACTGTACACAGGTGTTTTGTTCCGACACTTGGCTCCTTAAAATCAATAGGTGGGGGGGGTGGGCTTGTAACGGTACCATACTTTAAATGAGGGCGCTGCTCAAATCCGACGATTATTAACTTTATATAACATAAAAGTGCACAAATACCCCATAACTACCCACCCCCACCCCGGATCCATGCCTGATAGAGCAAAATAGTTAAAAATGCGCCGCTTTGATATAACTGCAAGTATACCAATACATTAAGATATATCATGAACAGGCCCCTAATGTAATGTGAAGCCCCCCCCCCCCCCCCCCGCATTGTTTCGGATTCCACAGCCGGGCGATTTTGGTGATCCCCCTCCCCTACATGTACATGCCGTTACAGATTCACGCCACGGAAAATCAATATTTTGCCATCTTTCTTGAAATTAGGTGTTTTACATGATTTTTTTTCAACCCCCGGAGGGCTCATGGGCTTACATTAATTAATAAGCCCTACTGGAGCCTCGTGCCAAATTTAGTGCTTTTATCCGCCAAGTATCGGTAATCTCAAAGTATGACACTAAGCCACCCGACTAGTTGTTTTGACTAGCAAGATTGAATGATGTCCCGGTGTTCAATTCCAACACATGTACCCTCCTTCAACCCATCGCAATCTTTCAGCGAAGTCTGCAGTTGCGTCCACTTCGGCCTCAGGACATCATGTCAATGATCCACTGGAACATTCTCCTCTCGCCCCAACATCTCATGTTGGGGGATTCTCCAATCGAGTCTTGCGGCGTGCACCTGTAAGCGAAGGTCACAAAGGGCAGGAACTCATCCCAGTCTTTCTGCTTTCGCCTCAATCAGCATCGCCACTATGTTGACCAAGGCTTTGTTAAACCCCCTCAACCATGCCGTCCGATTTCGGATTATAGGCGGTTGTCCGAGTTTTCGATATGCGCATATGCCGAGAATTTGGAACATTTCCCTGAACACTGAAACTCAAAGTTTGTGCCCTGATCAGAGTGAAATTCTTGGGGCACCCCGAATCGACAGACAAACTCAGTCACCAATGTGTGCGCTACTGTAACTGCAGTAGCGTCAGGAAGTGAAAATGCTTCAATCCACTTAGTGCAGTAGTCGCCAACCACC